GTGCATGTATTGTAGCTTATGAATAATGGGCGAAAAACACAAGAAGAGGAAAGTTCCCAATTCATATTGCACTTAAGGGATGTCCCTTGACCGGTTTGCTCCATTTTCAGTACTAAGCTACGTAAAACAACTTTTAGTGTCGTCGTCAAACTTAAAAGCAACATCTTAATGTTTGCGATTGGGAGAATTTTTACTACAAACGGACAGATGGAAAAACAGACATTCCTAGACGGATTGTGAATTTGATGCTGTTCAAGAATATACACAGCTTATAATGTTGCTGAAACTTGCTGTTGGGTGGTGCAAACGCTTTGATAAACTCAATCCATATCCCCATGCTTCCGTAGCGGTAATAAAAAATGAGTATACATTTCCACATATTATGTATATTTTGCATCAAAAAATTTTGACGACCTTATTATTATTATTATTATTATTTAATTTGTGCGTCATTCATACGCCATGATGCACACGTAATTCGTATTTAGTTTTCTACTAAAAAAAATTGCAATAAACTGTTCGTTTACTTTTTGTTTTGATTGCTTTTGCTGTTCGTTTGTATGTTATTTTATCACGTGTAATAGAAATCGTTATTGAAGATAATTAATTCAAAATATCTTATTATATATATATATTATAAAATTACGAATACTAACTGTTAAGATGAACAATAACTAAGAAGCATAAAAAACATTAAAAAAAAAAAAAAAAAGAAAAAACAAAGGCAAACCAATCGTAAAAACATTTCCTTTTCATACGAGGGATAAAACTTTCTCACTTTGGTTTAAAATGTTTTAGTTTGTATTGCGATAAACCCAATAATGCAACAATCGCTCACTAAATCCAAGTTTCTAATCTAAGACTCATAAATATAATATATTAACTTATATTTTGAACTCTCTCGCCTGTTAAGTTTGCACATGTATTTTCCCGGTCATTGAAAGTTCATTATCAAACTCATTATCAAATGTACGTATAATCAGGTCATTAACCTTACAAATAGTAAGAATTTAGACCAGTAGTATCAGCAAAGAAGCAAATGCATTATAATTATGTCTGCATAAACATATAAACTCAAAATATACTTTACTATCCACCTACATTCATGGCCACGCATTAAGGTATTTACGTATGTATATGTAGAGTAAGTAAAACCACGCTAAAGTCAGACCAAACATGAGAGAATATATATATATATATATATATATATATATGTATGTTTGGATATGTAGCAAAGGAAAGAAGGCCAACCAGGCAGCCGAGCAGCGAGCAAACAATGAATGAGTGGGCCCCAGCACAAATTTTGGAGGTCACTTATGTTATATTGGCGAGCCAAAGAGAACGCCAATTTTGCAACCAACGAACCAAGCAACCTAGTTATTGCATGAACATATTTGCAAAGCATTGAAACCGAGATGCCGACAAGAGATACACTCCCATGCATGCATTTGCGTATATAGTTAATAGCAAGGACATGCCGAGTCGGCGGACGTACAAGGATGCACTTTTACATACAAGCGACACAATGAGTTAAGGTGGTCGCTCTGTCGTCATCAAGTTTCATGTACACTACAAACTATGCATACATGCAGGCATGTGTGGTTGGGTGAATTTCTACTCTTTTGCAATGCATCGACAACTAAAAAGTGAATGCACTACTTCAACAGTATCATCCATCTATTCCACCACTTGTGCACAGAGTGCAAACATAAGTTGTGACTCTCAAAAGGATGCAATTTACACTATATACTCACACTGCAAATAGTCGGCATATGCAAACTGTAATGGGAATGGGCAAACGTAGAAGAGAAAAGTGCATAAGCGTAGTTAACTCAATGCAACAGTTGATTTGCATAGGAACGTCCTAGTGTTACGCCTATGGTGATATTGAAATTGTCTACTGTCTGATATATGATATATGGGATATCTCTATAAATGTTTATAATATATATATATATATAAACATATATATATATATATATATATATATATATATATATATGGTTCCATTATATACATAGTTTATATGTACAATAGTTATATGAAAAAACCATATATATATATATATATATATATATACATATGTATATATATAGATATATATTTGGTATGCACTTCTATCCAGAATGCATTGGCAATGAAATTTGTGCTTTTAGCCTTGACACGAACGTATTTCGTACATGTATATACCTACAGGTATGTCTCCATGTGTGCATAACTATGTATGTAAGTATCGGGTGGTTTATCTGCCTGCCAACCAAACGGTTGAACATTTTCGTCCATCTATATAGACGGCCGGCTTTTATCGTTTATATAGCTACAGATAGACAAACTAAGAGCGAGTGAGATAGGTAGAAAGATAGCATACAACGTCGATGCAAATTATGCAACAACATTATGTACGTATATATGTATGTCTATAGGATTGCGTGAATGTATGTATGTATGTATATATGTATGTATGTATGTATATATATATATATATATATATATATATATATATATATATATATATATATATATATATATATGTGTGTGTGTGTGTGTGTGTGTGTGTGTGTGTGTGTGTGTGTGTGTGTGTGTGTGTGTGTGTTAGAGTGTGTTTGTGTTTGTGTTTGTATATATACGTCTGCAGTAAACAGTTGAAAATCTCTGGGTAGGCCAATTCAATGCAATACCACCATGGCTTTCGGTCATGCATATACAATATGAAATGCTTTACTGTGACTGAGTGTCGTCAGTTTTATGCAAGTCGGCTGTAGTAATGCTGGCTGGCAGCCTGAATGTCTGTCTGACTAGCTGATTGGTAGGTTGGCTGGTTGATTGCATATTTTGTAATGCTTGCAATCCGATGGTGACGATGGAGTTTGCTGATGGTGTTACGTTTTACTGACAGTATTGCTGGTGTTGTGTTTGATGATGGCAAACCATTACACAATTTTCTTTGGTTGGTATAGAAAGTTAAAGACCTTTTGTGGGTGCTTGAGTTGTACTACTTTTGTAGACGATTGTATGTATGTGGGTTCTGTATGGTGTCTACGTATGTATAGATGTGGATATGTAGATGTGCATGATTGCGAGTTTTGGTTTATTTGCCATTTCTGTGTATATTGCGTTTTTTTTTTTTCCAACTTTTATATTCTGTTTATGTGTCGCGTATGTTCGCGCTGAAAGTGAATTTACGTTGTGTCGAGGAATTTATGGGATTTTCTGTACATGTATAAGTGTGTCAAGTACAACAAGTAGATGTTAATGTAGGTCTTGAAGTATACGTATAAACAAAAATTGAAAGTTGAATTATCCTTTTGCGAAAATCATCCGCTTTAAATGCATCTCTACGCTGCGGCTAATACCCGTGATACTAAGCAAAAATGACCCATAAAATGCGTTTAATCGAAACCAATTTAAAAGAAAAATATTCAAGAATTCGAAATAAAAACAATCGGAAGAAAGAATCTTGAATACGGCACCGTTTGTAGAGGCTAACAACAGAGAGAAAGAGAGAGAGAGAGAGAGAGAGAGAGAGAGAGAGAGAGAGAAATTGTAAATTTAACAAAACAATCTCATTTTGGAACATAGTCCGATTCAAGAACGATTGACACGAAATCAAGCAATATTGACTTGGTGACTTTTTAGAGATAAATATCCAATCCTTTCAGCTTTCAATTCTTCCTTCCATCACAGCTGACTGACTGACTGATTAGAATTATCTTAAATACCCGCGATACCTTCGTACTGCTTATGTACATTAAGGGAATTAATTCTTTATTTTACTCATTATTGCTTCCTAGGATCAAACTGATCAATGAATTCGCGTAAAAAATATTCAAGTTTAACGAAACGATGCGTCATCTTGTATTGTTGATTCATAATACGAAAAATGCAACACACACAACAGCACACATACCAACCAATACTAGACACAATAAAGGCAATTATCATTTAGACTATACTTCCGCGTAAGCCAAACAACCTTCTCTTATACTTGTCTATCGTTGTTTGCCAAAACACGCAAGTTTCCATTTCCATTAAGGCATACGAACAATGACTGCGCCAATATAGTTCCGTAAAGTTATTTATATTTAGTTAGATGGAATGTTTTTCTATGCTTTAGCTTTTCGGCTGCATCAGGATTGCCAAGTCCATGGAAAAATCAATGGTAACATGTTATTCAATTTAAGCGCTTTAAAAAATGAAAATTCAAGGGCCTCTTTAGACCAACCTATACATAAACAGCATAGCTGCATATATGCACGCACGCACGCACGCACGCACGCACGCACGCATACACGCACACACAACGAAAATTTACTATAACTCTCACTCTCACAAAAGGAGAATGGAGAGCAAGCATACGACCACTTACTCTCACTAGGACTTGCTTACCACCAATACATACCTATACATGCATGGATGGGCTTGTGTACGAAAACGAGTATATTGTAATACACTAGAAACGACGACCAACCTAAAAGACGACGAAGGATTGTTGAATAAATTGTCTGGCAGCGGCGCCCAGTACTAAACTTACGCCACACATCGTTAGGTGGTGTATAACGGTGTGCTTTGGTGTTCTCGTAGAATAGGAGTAGTACGTTTTTGGTGCTTCACTTCTTTGCTCTTCTGTTATTCCTTGTTGTTGTTGCGTTTTTCTTCCCTTTTTTTTTTCTTTTCGGATGTTCATCGCAGAAATATTAAGGCAGAAATCTGCCTCAAAGGCTGCAGCAACCCTCTTTATAATGTGTGGGTTATGTACGTCCACATAAACATATATATATATATACATTTTTTTTTTTCGGACGCTGAAAAAGTATCGTACAAGTGAATGCTCTCGTGTGGTTGAAAACAGCGGCGTATTGTGAGTGACATTGTATGAGTTTGTGGTGTTGTGTTAAAACGTAACGTATGCCCTAACCAAACTTCAAGAAGCAGTTACTTTGGTTGGCTGGGTGAATGAAGTAATAAAAAAAAAAAAAAAAAGAAAAAGGCAAAAAAAAAAAAAAAAACAAAAAAAAAATTTTTGAAAGCATTTTCCCGGTTTCGGTTGCACTCCTACATACACACACGTACTAACTGCATCCAAGTGCAATTGAATTTCGTATATTTGTATCATTATGCATATGGTATGAGTGCGTGTGTCCTATCGTTGCAAATTCTTTTTTTCATCGGTGTTTATTTTTTCGGGGAAAAAAATGCAATGAGATGCAAAACGGCAAATAGAAACAAGAAAAAAGAAATTCCATTGACTCCGTTTTAAAGTGAAAACTGTGTCTAAAGGTTGCAAAAGCAAAGCAAAGCAAAGCAAAGCAAAGCAAAGCAAAGAAAATATATTGGTCACATTGAGAAAAAAGGAAGCAGACGCATTGCAATTTTTAAGAGCTACATATATTTTGCAAAACAAAAGATATAACAAAAATAAAAATATCCAGAAAACGAAAAGACTGCAAATATTTTTTCAATATGGCTTGGAATAATAAAGGATTTAAGGTGTGTTAGTGTGTGTGTGCGTACCGTATAAATGAAAAATTTAGTTTATACGCTGGTTAGAAATCGATAAATTAATTCCGACAGCTGCTTTCATTCATTATTTGCTCATGTAAATAGTAAAATCATCTTTTAACAAATATTGAAAAGAATTTCCCGAATTCTTATTAAATCTAATTTTCTAATAATCATCAGCATTATTTAGCAATTTTTGTTGTTTGTTTTTTTTGTTTTCATTTTTTTTTGGATTCAAATCAATTTTTTTAATTTCCCTTAAGTTTTACCGCTTTTTCAACAGGGAGTTAGGGTATGTATGTATGTAGTTGTCGCCTGCTATACTTTTTTCAACCCACACAACTAATGCATTTGTTCTTAGCTTATTTTCATGTATTTAGCCATTGTTTTTATTGTTCTCACTCATTTACTTCATATTGTTCTCTCTCTCTCTCTCTCTCTCTCTCTCTCTCTCTCTCTCTCTCTCTCTCT